CTACTTTTATTATTTGTAAGTGCTGAATCAGCATCTTTCAAGTGGAAGATCTTAACGTATTCTAACCTATAACTTCCATCTTCATAAGGTAACGACTGTTGAACACAAAACAAATCGGAAAAAGTACTAAATTTAAAAATAATCTACAGAAGAGCTTGCCAATACTTTTCCTCAGCTCTGGATATTCTCGAATTGTTTTTTTCCAACCGCTTCTCGTTATCCCTGTAAATAAACTGTTGATACAGATCGGTAAAATGCAATTATTATTGTTAAAAGCGTAAGACAAATCCTACCGACTGCGCCAAAAATTATTGATTTTCAGAAGAATGGCCCCAAAAACAACTTCAATTCGGAAGGAACTTCTACAAATTGAATATACAAGTTCACTGTAACGCTGCAGATGACTAAAGACTATACTCATTCAATGTAACATTTTCGAAAAGTAATTTTCTGACTGATTTTGATAATGAAAGGCAATGAATGTTAATTCATTTAGAAAAATGTAGAATGTATTTAGAAAAAGCCTAACATTGCTATAAATATGACGTTGCTCTTTAGGTTTATGTTTACGATTATAACGAAATGTTGTAGTAGAATGACAGAAAAGTGCAATAAAAATGTTATGAGTATAAAAAAATAATAGTTTATTCATAGAATGTAGTCCAACCAAGTTTTATTTTCTTGCATGAACGTAAAGAATTAATTGTTTCATTTGCTTTACAATTTTCAACAATGTGCAACAAAAACAATGTCCATTCAAAGTTAATCAAATCATTTTTATTTTGTATGAAACATCCTTTCTAGACTGATTAGGATTTAGAAAATATCATTAAGGACGCGAGTTTCCTCGGATATAACATGTATATTTCTGTTACTACTTGAAATTGATATACCTACCTAGAAATAGATTTGGAAAAAAGATGAATCATCTTCTGCAAATAATTATGAATGGAAAACTCAAGTTTAAAAAGAATGAATGGGGAAGAGGCGCCAACAATCCAGATGGCATCAAGTGAATTCGAGATCGGTGAAATTCCTGCAATTTCTTTGAAATAATCGGCATTCCTAGACAATTTGGTCCCATTTCAACCACCTTAACAGAAGTTGTCTATCATTGATTTATCGATCTATTGATTTACAGGGACATCTGGAACTGATTTCAAAACGAATAGACCCTGAGCAATAGGTACATGAAAAAAAACCTGGTTATGTTTACGAAAAACAAAGTAGTAGGTATTTATATGAAAATAAGGTGTTTACAAATATTTGGACCATCTCCTAACAACGCCAACTTGGATTGTAAAACATGCTTGAATAATTGAATAGAGCTGGCCGATGAAAATCCACATTAAAACTAATTAAGTTATTGTATAGCGAAACACGTGTGACGGATTTTGTAAAATACATTAAAANGTTCAAACAGTATGGTGACGCTCGAAAATGTTATTGTATAGCGAAACACGTGTGACGGATTTTGTAAAATACTTTAAAATAAAAATCATGCAATAAACTGTATTAATTAGTTGTGAAACATGCTTCAAGAAAAGTGTCGTGGTATGTGAGAAAACAGTTAAGTTAGTCATGTTTTCCAGCAGAGCTCATTTGAACCCTAATATACATTACTCAAAAAACGAACTATTTTCGCATGTTTCTTACGAAATCTCATAATGCAACTATTTGTCATTACTTTATTTGATGATAAAGAGGTATAGAAGGAGTCGACAACCTGCTCATCTTGAATATTACAGGCAGTTGAGAAATTTCACTTCTTCCTCCATCAGAAGAGAAAAAAAGGCACTAAAGCCCCATTTTTTTTTTCACTTAATTGTTTATAATTTTTCTAATTTTCATCGGCGCGTTTTCGGACCTTTCCTTAAACTTTCTAGGCAAAAATTCGAATCGAATGACACCTTGGTCGTAATTTTTGGACAGGGCTGAAAAATGTTAAAAAAAAAGTACATGTGAACTAGACTAAACAAGATCAGACATTATTTACATCGATAAATTCTATTTTCGTTCTTCAAAAACGGGCTGTTTTTTTTAGAGAAATTTTGCCTCGTAAAAAATTACAAGAAAAATTTTGAGTTACGGTCAAGTTACGATACTCGTCCCACTTACAATATCACGCTCCCTATTTCTTCAACATCACTCATCAGGAGTTTACTATGTCATAATGGAAAAAACTATTCGATCATATTCCCATCTAAATGAGAAAAATATCCAGTGACACACTTTTCCGAGACCTGGTGAGTAGTAATATTGAGACCTCGACGTCATAATACCCTTACTACCCAAGAAATAAAACACGTAGGAAGCTATAGCTACCTGTGTGATTTCCGGGTCCAGGGTATAAATTGAGACATAGATGTTATCGAGTGTGTGGTATAAATCAAAAAAGGAAGTGTTTGTGGGCACAACACTTCAAAAAGGAGGGGGCCTAATCGTGTTCACGTTTTTCTAGGCCCCATCGGCGCAACCAAGTGCAAGGATGGATAATATTGGATATAATAAGTGGGTCAATATTTGATTTGCTCCGTTATTCATAAAAATTTAATATCCATAGATTGCGTATTGCTACTGTCAAATTGATTTCAGGTGACAAGAGAGGAAGCTTTGCAATATTCTAAAAGTATAGGAGCCTTCTATTTCGAAAGTTCCGCCATGACTGATCAGGTAAGTAAACTATACAAAATTCTTCAAATGACAGGCTATATTAATCGCTCGTTTCATGTTTTGTTATTCCGAAAAATGCTTGCCGTAAGGTGGCACTGGCGTCAACGCCAAACTAAGGGAAAACAAGAAAATCCTATAGAAGTGTATTTCATAAACACAAGTAATTCATATACTTACGAGTGAAATCATCTGAGTTGAAGAATTTCATTTCTCATTCCTTCGCTACGAAATTCAGAAATAGACTGAAGTCGTTTTTGTTCGACCATTGTTTTCATACACTGAATGAATATTTTAATTTTTTTGCCTCATGATTACTCATATTTTATCTGAATATTTGTATTTGTTTCACCTGGTATTTATTTGTTTACTTGTTTTATGTTGATGGGAAGAAGCGTATCATAGCTGTAAAACTCTGTTTCGGTGGCCTAGCAATAGTTTTTTTTTCATAATATCATCGGTTTGAAAGAAATAACCAGAATAAAAGTTCCTAGTCTGTCATCGTTCAAAACTTTTAAACATTCTAATATGTTTCACTGGCGCTCTATATGAAACCAAAATCCGACTATCCTATCTATCAAACGCTTGTCATAGATCAGATATTTCCCCACGCACTATAATAATATTTCAATTCAAAATTTAGTCCAATTTGTCATTCGGACTAATATATCGATATTTGTGGAAAATGGTTTAATTTTTTTCTAGTTTCTGGGTGCAAAATTGATATTTCACTCTGTATGTATGTCCATAATAACTGAATAACTGTCAATATGATTTAATGTCAAGAAATAATTGAATTGAATAATTAATGCTAAACACCATAATACAAATCTGTAAGTAGTGAGTACTAGTACTCTTTATGAGGCCGGAACCATAAAAAAATTGATTTTTTATTTTCTTACATAGATGGCTGTTAATCCAAAACTGAATATTGTTTCCAAATTTAAACAACTTTTTTAAAATTAGAGTAGTTTACCCTTGATCAAAATTTCTATTTTTTGTTCTCCCCTGTATACCGTTCAGAAATTTAGAGTTTTGGCAACTCAAATCCAAGTTTTCCGCAACGCACCAATTTTTATCAACAATGAAATTTTCTGACAAATGGATAATAAAAAAATTTCCCATATCACTGTATATAATTAGGACAATATTGGAACTATTGAAGTTATTAATAATAACCAGGGCATCCGAGTCTCATGAATTCTGATATGTCATAGTATCAATCAATCAAGATATGCTTTATTGTCAGAAGAACATAATTCTCGTAGACAAAGCTATACAATGTGATTTGGTCAAACAATTAGTTAGATTACATCTACGTAAAAAATCTCAATATCTAAATCCTAATACTAATATACATAAATTGAGATTTATACATGTTTTACAACTCTACACATGATTTTTATATTCATATATGGATACATGCTGAGATGTTTTATGAGCAGCCCACGTAGTAAAC